AAAAAGACACCTGCACTCGAATGTTTATAGCAGCACAATTCATAATTGCAAGGCTGTGGAAACAGCCCAAGTGCCCATCAATCCAAGAATGGATTAATAAAATGTGGTATATGTATACCATGGGGTACTATTCAGCTCTAAGAAACAACGATGATACAGCACATCTTGTATTTTCCTGGTTAGAGCTGGAACCCATACTACTAAGTGAAGTATCCCAAGAATGGAAAAACAAGCACCACATGCACCACCAGCAAACTGGTATTAACTAAGCAGCACCTAAGTGGACACATAGGTATTACAGTAATAGGGTATTGGGCAGGTGGGAGGGGGGAGAGGGGCGGGTATATACATACATAATAAGTGAGTTGTGCACCATCTGGGGGATGGTCACGCTGGAAACTCAGACATGTGGGGGAGGGGGGGAAAGAGCATTTTTTGAAACCTTAAAATTTGTACCCCCATAATATGCCGAAATTAAAAAAAATAGAAAAAAAAATGGCTTCGGGAATGATACACTAAGATGTATTGAGTCCTTATCACTGAGATGCAATGTGTTTCATTGAATTTAAAAATATGAGGAAACTCTTCATTATACATTCATCCTCTCTAAGAAAAACACAGAAGTGACAATAAAATTAGAAAAATCATCATTTTGCAACAATTCAGGTAGGGTCATCAGTTAATGTTGAAACTGCCAGGTGAATTATTTAGGAAACTGATAGTCACAAGGTCTTAAAGTACCCTGTCATAGATATTTTTATTAGTTTCATATGAAAAACAGAACCTCAGCAATAGAAAGATCTGGCCAATACCCCTTACTAAGTGTGGACCACACATACGATGCAGTGGGACATACATAACATCACCTATGCGATTTTCATGCCAAAAAACATATACTGGAATCTAATCTTCAAGAAAACATTCACACAACACCAAACTGAGCAACATTTTACTCCAGTCTATAGACAAGTAGATGGGACTCTTCAAAACTATCACTGTATTGAAGTGAAACAAATGAAGGAAAAGAAACTGATCTTAATTAAGGGGGACTACAGGGACAAGATGACCAAATTAAAAGCTATACTTGACTAAACTATAGGAACTCCACCTAAAAAAGCTATAAAAGGTATTTTAGCATAACTGTGAAATTTAGTTATAGGTTATTAGATATATTATTATATCAATGATAATTCCTTGAGGTGAATGCTATTATTGTTATGTAGCAAAAAGTCTGTTCTTGGGAGTTACATACTGATTTACTTAGGTGTTAAGTGTGATAGATTAGACAGATACAGCTAAATATATAGATTAACATTTAGACACATATACATTTATATTTATTATATATATACTATATATACACACATATATATTTATTTTAGAAATATATTACAATGTAGTTGCTGTAGATTTTATAATACTGCCAATAACATGAGGGGTACCAGGTAATCAAATACATTGATAATTCTTTAGCAAAATATTAATATTTACACAAAGTGTGATAAATAAGGAATGTAAATAGATTCATTCAGTTCAAATAATGTTTTGGCCACCAAAGGAAATTATACCCAACTTAAATTGTTTTTAATTTTCCAAGCTTTTAATATTGCAGAATTGAGAATGAGGGAATTCTAACTCAGTATTACGGGGAAAAACAAAACAAAACAAACAAACCCCCTTGGATCTGCACTGTCCGACACAGTAGCCACGAGTAATTCATGGTCATTTATGTTTAAATTTAAAGTAATTAAAAGTAAGCAAAATTCATAATTCATTTCCTCAGTTGCACTGATCATATTTCAGGTGTTCAATAGGCACCTGTGGCTAATGGCAACCATACTGGACAGCATAGATGTTCAGAATTCCCTCTCTTCTAGAAGATGGAAATAGTAATTTCAACCTTAAAAAATGTACAATTCTTTTTTCTCTCAAAGTAGAACTATAAGTTATCCTATTTTTTTATAATAGGAATATGTGCTGGCTTCAAGTGAAAAGGAGTAGCTTGTAGCGCAGCAACTAAAAAGTCTGAATTAACACAGAAACCATGTGTGAGAAAGCATTAAAAAACTGCTGACACAAAAATTAATCTCCGAATTCCAGAGATCAGGAACCTCAGAGAGGTCAGCTGATGACTGACAGCTGCAGTCAAGTTTTGACAGAATTCATATCCAATTCTTACTCAAGACAGGAGACATTATTTAATTCTGTATGCCTAGTGAAGGAGGAATAAACCCTTTTTGGAAGAAGATAAACCTCATCTGACACTGCATTTTTTCATATGTAATAACTAGCATTTAACCAAAGTTTATTAAGTACCCCAAAGACACAACTAAATGGACAAAAAAAAGAATAGAGAAGCAGGAAAAGGCAATAATAATATACCCACAGTAGGAAACATTACCTACCTTACTTTACAAAGCCAATATTACCTCCATATCAGAAATAGAATAAGAACATATGAAGGAATAAAAATGCAGGAATAAAAAAATGCAATAAAAATGCAAAATGTCTCATAAATATAAATTCAAATATCCTAAACAAAACATAACAAATAAAACCCATCTGTGTACGTGTGTATTGCATTGTGTATTGTGTGTGTATTGTAATTAATACATATATATTATATAGAGAGAGATCAAAACATATTACCATACCAATAGAAGCAGAGAATCCATTTGATTAAATTGTACACACATTCATGACCCAAAAAAGTCATAAAAAGAAGGGGGCAACCTTCATAAATCTGATATTTAAAATGTATATATATATTTAAAATATCATTCTCAATGGTGAGATCTTAAACCTCCACCCCCTCCCAGAGATCAGGTATGAAACAAGGGCTCCCATAATGTTGATATATTCAATGCTGTCCTGGAAATCCTAACCAGTAACATAATGTAATAAAAAGTAAATTAACTTATAAGAATTAAAAATAAGATAAAAAAAACAGTAAACAAGATCACAGAATTGTACATAGAAATTACAAACAAATCTACAAGCAAATAATTAGCAATAATAAGTAAATTTAGCAAGGTGATAGATGTAAGTTCAGCAAAATAATAAAGTCAATTATATTTTCATGCCTCAGAAACAAAGAAATGGAAATGGCATTTTTAAAAGTATACTATTCACAATAGCATCAAGAGTGTCTTTTATTTAGGAAAAAAACATAAAAGATTTGCAAGCCATTGCACTGAACACAAAACATTACTGAGAAAATAGAAGAAAGCCTAAATAAATTAGGAGCATAACCATATATTGAATTGAAATATTCAATGTGTCAAAATGTTAAATCTGTCCAAATTGAACTATGGATTTAATGTCACTCTGATAAAAATTCCAAAACAGTGTTTTGGGAAAGTAAAAAACTAATACTTTTTTTTTTTTTTTTTTAGAGGGAGAGGGTCTTGCTCTGTTACTTGAGGATGGTATGCAGTGGTGTCATCCTAGCTCAATGCAACTTCAAATTCCTGGGCTCAACTGATCCTTCTGCCTAAGCTTCCTGAGTAGCTGGAATTACAGGTGCATGCTGCCATTCCCAGCTAATTTTTCTTGTCTTTTTTTTTGTTTGTTTTCTTTTCTGTAGAGAGAGGGTCTCGGTATGTTGTTCAAGCTGGCCTTGAACTCCTGGGCTCAAGCAATCCTCCCATCTTGGCCTCCCAAAATGATAGGATTATAGGTATAAGCCACTGGCCCCACCCCAAAATGATATTTTCAGCATTTATTTGAAAGTGTAAATGCCTAAGAGCTAAAACAATATTAAAGAGGCAGAAACAACTTGGAAGACATACACTGCCAGATACCAAGACCTGTTACAAAGCTTTATAGCTCCAAATTGGAAACAGTGCAAATTCGATCAAGCTGCCACACCTATGAGTTCTGCACTTCTCTTACCTTATATTGGCAGAGAATTGGGACTATACTATAAATTTGGGAATGTCAAGAGTACTGAGCTGCACAGCCAAAGAAATAGTCATGAAAGTAAACAGACAACCTACAGAATGGGAGAAAATTTTTACATCCTATGCATCTGATAAGGGACTGATAACTAGAATATACTTAGAACTCACAAAAATTAGGAAGAAAAAATCAAATAACCCCATTAAAAAGTGGGCAAAGGACTTGAACAGAAATTTTTCTAAAGAAGACAGAAGAATGGCCAACAAACATATGAAGAAATGCTCAACATCTCTAATCATCAGGGAAATGCAAATCAAAACCACAATGAGATATCACTTAACCCCAGTGAGAATGGCCTTTATCAAAAAATCTCCAAACAATAAATGCTGGCGTGGTTGCGGAGAGAGAGGAACACTCCTACACTGCTGGTGGGACTGCAAACTAGTTCAACCTCTGTGGAAAGCAATATGGAGATACCTTAAAGTGATACAAGTGAATCTACCATTTGATCCAGCAATCCCATTGCTGGGCATCTACCCAAATGATCCAGTGACACTCTACAAAAAAGACACCTGCACTCGAATGTTTATAGCAGCACAATTCATAATGGGAAGGCTGTGGAAACAGCCCAAGTGCCCATCAATCCAAGAATGGATTAATAAAATGTGGTATATGTATACCATGGAGTACTATTCAGCTCTAAGAAACAATGGTGATATAGCACATCTTATATTTTCCTGGTTAGAGCTGGAACCCATACTACTAAGTGAAGTATCCCAAGAATGGAAAAACAAGCACCAGATATATTCTCCAGCAAACTGGTATTAACTGAGTAGCACCTAAGTGGACACATAGGTGCTACAGTAATAGGGTAGTGGGGAGGTGGGAGAGGGGAGGGAGGTGGGTATATACATACATAATGAGTGAGATGTGCACCATCTGGGGGATGGTCATGATGGAGACTCAGACTTTTGGGGGGAGGGGGGGTAATGGGCATTTATTGAAACCTTAAAATCTGTACCCCCATAATATGCCAAAATAAAAAAAAAATGAAAAAAAAAAAAGAGTACTGAGGTGCAGTGGAGGAGAAACAAGCTTACCTTGGGGATCAGGTAGTTTCTGAATTTGACATCACAGGTCACTGCATGAGGCAGGTTGGTGGGGACAAGGTCAATGTATCTCTGGATCTCATGCACCGTGGCATCTGTGTAGGGCATGTGGCTCCTGTCCTGCATGCAGGGGCTTCGGTGTCTGCCAACCACACGGTCAATCTCTTCCTGAACTTTAGCTGATAAGACACAAGTAATAAACCAACTGATCTTCAACAAAGCAGACAATATACACTGGGGAAAGGAAGCTTTATTCAGAAAATGGTGATAGGAAAATTAGATAGCTACATGCAGAAGAATGAGACAAGACCCCTATCTCTTACCATACACAAAAATTAATTCAAGATGGACATGAAATGTAAGACATAATATAAGATATGAATGTAAGACATGAAACCATAAAAATTCTAGAAGAAAACAAGAAAAACTCTTCTAGACATTGGCCTAGGCAAAGAATTTATGACTAAGACTCCAAAGAGAAATAGAGTGACTAGACAACCTACAGAATGGAAGTATTCACAAACTATATATCCGATATAGGTCTAATATCCATACCTACAAGAACTCAAACAAAGCAGCAAAAAAAAAAAAAAAAGAAATCAAAAAGTGAGCAAAAAGCATGAACAGAAGTTTCTGAAAGAAGATAAACAAATGGCCAAAAAACATATGAAAAAATGCTCAACATCACTAATCAGGGAAATGCAAATTAAAACTACCATGAGAGACCACCGTGCCCCTATCAGAATAGCCATTATTAAAAAGTCAAAAAACAATAGATGCTAGTGTGGATGCAGAGAGAAAGGAATGCTTATATACTGTTGGTAGGACTGCAAATTAGTACAACCTCTATGAAAAACAGTATGGAGATGCCTCAAAGAAATAAATGTAGATCTACTATTCGATCCAGCAATCCCACTGCTGGGTATCTAACCAAAGGAAATGAAGTCATTTTATCAAAAAGACACCTGCACTTGAAGTCATTTGCAGCAGTTCACAGTTGCAAGGATGTGGAATCAACCTAAGTTTCCATGAATTAATGAGGGGATAAAGAAAATGTGTATGTATGTATGTGTACACACACACATGGAGTAACTACTCAGCCATAAAAAGGAATGAAATAATGTCATTTGCAGCAACTCAGATGGAACTGGAGACCAACTGAAGTATCTCAGGAATGGAAACTCAAACATCATATGTTCTCATTAATAAGTGGGAGCTAAACAATGGGTTCACATGGGCACAAGGCAATATAAAGGACATGAGAAACAAAGAAAGGGGGAGGGTGGGTTAAAAACTTACCTATTGGGTACAATGAACACTATTCTGGTGATGGGAAGACCCCAAGCTCTGACTGAAGCATTATTCAAGATATCCATGTAACAAAAACAATTGTACCCTCTTAATTAATATTTTGAAATAAAAAGAGAAGCAAGTAATAAATCATGGTAATGGACAAAAATGGCACATTTGTTGTAGCAGTTGAGGGTTACATGAAGCATTATGTAGGTGTCCTAACAGCATTATAAATATAAATTATAGGGCCAGAAGTACACATAGACTTAGAGAGAATTACTATATTATACATATATATAACTCTCCTACAAGCTAAGCATTAAGATAAACCTGTACTTATCTGCATATTAGCATATAGAGTAATCAATACAAATGAAAATGAAATTATTTAAAATATAAATTTTAGTACCTTAAAACTCAAAAATATTATTGTCCTTACAGAAAGAAAAAAAATCAAAAATTAATTTTGTATTTAAATAATATGTTTTAAAAATTGAATTCTAACAGATCTATATGTATGTATGTGTTTGTGTATTGTGTATGTGTGTGTTTCTTTGCAACTTGCAATGATATCCTCTGTTATCATCACATTCCCCAAAGGCAGCCACTTTGAAACATTCTAGAAGTTTCTTCTGAAATTTATGTTCACATTTCTAAATACTGACTCTATTTCTATTTCTTGATTTTATCTGTTTTTTAGAAAATTTCTATAACTTTGTAGTAAGACAAATGAGGACTTACATCTCCATAACCACCTCCTACAAAATATATAGACACACACCCACACCCACCCACGCACACATACACACAAACACAAACACAAAATACACCAGTTTCCCAGTGTATTTATATCACAGTTTTATTATACCAATATTCATTGTTCACACCATTATGGCTTCATAAACATTGATCAAATGTAGGACAACTACAATCATGTTTCATCTTTTGTACATGCAACTTAAAAATGCCTATTTCTTAAAATCATTCTTAAGTTTATTGCTGGAAAAAATCTTGACTTTTCAGATGGAATTACAAACTAAATGATTTCTTGTACTTAGAAGTGTAGTATAGACCTAACAAAACTGTCAGATGTCCCACCATCATTTAGGATTTGCCCAAAACCAACACCAAAGAATCACATACAACATGCTTTTGCTTAATTGTCCATTTTGGTTTTATTTTTTAATCAAATATAAGCAGGATAGGGGTAGAAATATATTTATATATCTATCTATATCAATGCCAAAATATGAGTAATACAAGGAAAATAAAGTCTGATTAAATCCAGTATTACATGAAGTTAATGAGGTTAATGGGTTAATGAGGAATATATTAAAAGAGTAAAGAGGATACCAAGAAGCTTAAACTGGACTAGCCTTATTTGCAAGTGAAGGATCTGGTGCTGCTTTCAGTTGTTTATCCTTTATGTTTTTTTTTCCTTAAGCTTTAATCTTTGTCATTGTCTTAAAGTAACTGGTGTTTCTTGTTCACACATGCACTATCCACCTGGTCCATTCTGAGATGTTTTCTAGGCCTGCTGCCCAGCAGCTTACCTGACACTTCTAACCTCGTACATGAACACTCCTGATTCACGAAGCCACAACTTCCCCTGATGTGGTTTCAAACATTTGGGTGGTTTTTAAGAAAGTAAAAACAGAGGGTAACATTTTTTGCCAACGTGCATGTATGAAAATATTCTCTATGAATACACAAGATGATAGCTGCTCTTGAGAATTCTAATGCCACACTGATTCTTAAACCTATTTCATATATGACCTGAGTTATCTCAGGAAGTTTTTAGGATTTTCCCTTTACTCCTGGCATTCTAAAATAATTCTATAGCCCTATAGATGCAGGCTCATCTGCATCAGATGCTGACTTTCATTTCATTCATTTTGCTGTACATTTGGTGAGAATCTTCTATCCACATAGTAAAAAAAAAAAATGGAGATCTTTCCACTGGTGCTGTTCATTCTCTGGAGTTTACATCTGGCTGCTGAATTCAGGAACAAAATGGAGAAAGGAGCTAAGGGCCTCAGAATTCAAGTGGACTCTTAACTTTTCTTATTAGCCCTGCCCATCTCCCTTTCTCTGTCTCTCTCTGGTGTCCCTGGGTGCAGGACATTTTAGTTTTAGTTTCTCAAGAGAGTAAGCTTCCCCTTCCTGCAGGGGCTAAAAAACAATTACCAGTACTTGATAAATAGAGCTGTAGAAAAGGAAACTGTGTAGAGGAGCCTCCTGTTTTCTGCCTCATTCTCCCTCTACCTTCTTTAGCTCTTGGTTCTTTTAAATACTGAGCCTATGGGGATTGTGGGAATGCAAACTGGCCTGTTGATCCATGATAACTCTTCTTCTTATGACATTAGGTTATAACCCAGTCTCTCTGCTGAATTGGTTATTGTCCATCTATCTCCTCTCTGTGTTTCAGAAGTTTGTTAAAAGATTTGATGGCTCTTTCCGATACTCCTCTACTCCAACTTAAACAGGAGTGGTTTTCATTTATAATTAATTTATCATCATTTCAATAGGATCCTGGCCCAGGAAAATATAATGTATGTGACGAATATGCTATGCAGAACTAGAATCGGCTTATAGGTGAATCAATATAAAATATTGGGGAAAGAGCTGTTTATAAAAGATAAAATGGTCAACCCTAAGAAAAATTCTTATATTGGCAAATATCATTTTTCTGGACTCAGATTTCTATAATAATTATATTCCCTAGGCACATCTTCTTACCTAAATACATGCACCTTTATTATAGATCTAACCTTTTAAAATTCTTTCCAGATGATGGAAATTTTCTCAGGTCATCTCATGAAATTTCTAGAACATATAAGCTTCAATAAATAGATTTTTCCATCTTTCCTGCCCCAGCATTAAAACACTACATTTTCAGAATTAGGGAAGATCTATAAAATCTGTAAGAACATACCTACCATTCAAAGTGGTCTGTTCTACTTGAAAACAGCATTTTGTATACCTGAATATAAGTGAAATAAAATTTCTGCTCATCTCAAAAAGAAAAAAATGGTGTCTTCTTAAGAAAAAAGACATACAATCTTAGTCCAGTTTGTGATGCCTATCCCTGCTACAAATCTGCTGCCATGATATCCAGACACTTTATCTAGAGTATTTTGTCACTAAAATTCAAAGCTTTATCACTTTTGCTACTGCCCACACTGTCTTCACTTCTGTCAGTCACTCTTTCCTGTTGTGTAAATATGTCTCATTTTTATACCTTCATCATATTGGAACAATAGCCAGTGTCACAGAAATTTTAATAAAGAAGCTTCTCTAAAAAACAAAACAAAACAAAACAAAAACAACTTTCTCAGAGAAGGACACTAGCAGAGTCTTCCCAACATCTTTTGTGAAATTCACCTCACTATATATGGTCATACCTGTGACCTCTGGGTGCTTCAGCAGGATCAGGAGTCCATATCTCAAGGTGGTACTCGTTGTCTCTATTCCAGCTCCAAACACATCAATTACAGTGGCTAGCAAGTTTTCAATAGTAAATTTGGACTGTGGATTTTGCTTTTCCTAAAAATTATTTGATTATTTAATTACTTCAAAACAGTTTAGCAACATATTTAAGAACAATGATTTCAAAATAAATCAAGTTGTGCCAAAGATAAGCAAACTTGGAAACTGCAGAGTACAGAATTAAGACTCCAACAACTATTATGGCAAAATCATTATGACAGAGAATGTAATTTAGTTGATCCAGCCTTCATTTTCCCACTTCTACTTATCCCCTATTTGCCTAAAAATTCTATTCCCCAGTCTCTTTTGCAGTATATTGGCCATGAATCATATTTCTTGTCAATGACACATCATTAGGAACGTACTGATAGCATTCCTCTCTTTCCTTCTTCTTGCTCAAAACACATATGTAAAAGTAGAGGTGGTGTAGACATCACCTTGGAAAATGAGTATATAAACATCAAGATGCTCATATATTAAGTGTGAAAATGAAAAATGGCAGGCACTTGGTTTCGTGATGATTAAGGTCTACATTACTAAGTCTGGACTGCCTAACGTGTAACTCCTTGAATGTGAAATAAATAAACACACTATTTCTTTAATCCATTGTTAATTGATTTTTCTCTTGTTTGTATACATATACAATATTAATTGATTGATAGAAATGAGTAAATTAAAGACATATCTTGAAAGATGTTATAAGCCAAAATCAACAGTTCCCATTCTAGGAGTGTAATAACAGTAACATTGCGGAACAGGAGGCTCCAGTCTTTCCCTCCACTCATGGATATACCAAATAAACAACAATTCATGGATCATTTTCTTCTGAGAGAAAGTCAAAAATGAGGTGAGACACTCCTATGCACTGAGAAACTGATAAAATATCTACACTGACTGGGAATAAAAAGGTGCAGCACTCTTGTGCAGTGATGCTGCACAAGTAGCTCTGGGCACTGCACCATACAATCGTGAAGGGATTTCCAACACGCAGCTTCTCCCTGGGAACAAGATGATTTAGAACACACATATAATGCCCTAACTGTAAGGTTCGCCACAATCAGACACTTAATTAACCAACTCTGGGAGCAGAAGGAACTAGGTATAAAGCAGTCTCTCTAGATCTCAGAAAAATTTCTGATATTATACAGGTGTCCACACACTTCATGGACTTTATCCCCTGAAATCAAGGCAAATAAAGAGCTAACACTCAAAGATCCTAGCTTCTCCCCAAACAAGACATGTTAGCATACTCTGTAAACTGCTGCTTTGACAATTGAGCTTCTAACTAGCCTGTGTCAGGGAGTTAACTGGACCAAAAAACAGTAGACCTGAAGCCTGAGCAAAAGGTTGTCACTTCCTGAGACTTCTCCTTCGGCTCCCCCCAGTGACAAGTCCAAGTCCACCCAATGATCTTGGAAGGAGTTTGTCCATAAACTGAGTGCCACAATTTCTGTAGCTCTCACCTAAAGGACTGCATCCTTAACCAACTATCTCTGGGAGTTGCTAGGGCTCTGCATTCCTGAATATCCTTAGATCATACAGGTAAAAAAAAAAAAGTAGACATACAGCAGGTCTATTTCCAGCAGCTGTCTCCCAAGCACCAAAAGTTACAGTCTAAATGTGAGTACAGGCATGTGCCACAGATCCTCTCCCCAGTCTAGTGCAGGGAGAGTGGGAAATGAACACCCATTCTTAGTGTCAGTATGATGACAGAATGAACTGGAACACACATGTCAATTTTCAAACTACATCTAGAGGGTGTGGCTTCTGCCTTAACTGTTTTGTGGTACTGACAGGGCATGGCACATCCTACTCTCCTACTCGCCAAAAACAGAGACAGCAGTTTGGACAAACACAAAGATTTGAGATGTACCTTAGCATTTCTGACTAGACATATTGGTGAGGTCTTTCTCCTCTATCAGGCCAGTGGAAACAAGACAGGGAGAGATAGTTTTCTTATCTAATGCACAGAAACCATAACAGAGAGTCAAGGAAAATAAATAAATAGCAATATGTACCAAATAAAAGAATAAGATAAATTTCTAATGAAACCTAGTGAAAGAGAGAGAGAAAAAAGAGTTCTGAAGGCAGTCAGGGAAGAGTGACTTGTTACATATGAGGGCACCACAAAAAGACTCCAAGCAGATATTTTTCAGCAGAAATCTTATAGGCCAGAGGGAGTAGGTTAATATATTCAGAATCCTGAAGGAGAAAAAATTGCTAACTGAAAATAGTTTACCTAGAAAACCTATCTTTCAAAAATAATGGGAAGATAAAGACTTTCTCAGACAAACCAAAGTTGAGAAAGTTTATCACCACTAGACTTGCCGTACCATAAATTCTAAAGTGATTTCCTTAAGCTGGAGGAAAAGGATGCTAATTAATAACATTAAAAAAATATATAAAACTCACTGGTAAGGCCGGGCGTGGTGGCTCACACCTGTAATCCTAGCACTTTGGGAGGCCGAGGTGGGCGGATTGCTCAAGGTCAGGAGTTTGAAACCAGCCTGAGCGAGACCTCATCTCTACCAAAAATAGAAATAAATTAATTGACCAACTAAAAATATATATACAAAAGATTAGCCGGGCATGGTGGTGCATGCCTGTAGTCCCAGCTACTCGGGAGGCTGAGGCAGTAGGATGGCTGAGCCCCGGAGACTGAGGTTGCTGTGAGCCAGGCTGACGCCACGGCACTCACTCTAGCCTGGGCAACAAAGTGAGACTCTGTCTCAAAAAAAAAAAAAAAAAAAAAAAAAAACTCACTGGTAAAAGAAAGTACATTGTCAAATTCAAAACACTCTCATACTGTAACAGTGGTGAATAAATCAACTATATATCTAGTATAAAGTCTAAAAGACAAAACTGTTAAAAAATATAATAGCTACAATAATTTGTGAAAAGATATGAATTATTTAAAAATGTAAATAGTGACACCAAAAACAAAATACAAGAGAAGGATAGTAAAAGTGCAGAATTTGGGAACATAACCAAAATTAATTTCTTACCTTAAAATAGTCTATTTTAAGTATACAATGTCTTATGTAAGGCTTAGGATAAACACAAAGCAAAAGCCTGTAATAGATATACAAAGATGGGTGAAACTAAGCTGGCTTTAGGTGTGACCTGGTGCTGGTGGCCACAGGGGAGTGCCATGTCACTCCTCCCCCAACTCCAGCAGCCCAGCACAGAGAGTGAGGGAAGAGAGTGAGAGACTTTGCCTGCCAATCCAGAGAATTCTCCTGTATCTTACCAAAGTCTACCAAGGTGGTACCACTGGGAGTCTACAAGAGTAATAGCATTACTGGGCTTCGGGTATTCCCAGTGCTTGTACAGCTGCAGCGACCAAAGAATTAAATCACAACACTCAATTTCCTTTGAGTATCTGGAAAGCCTTTTCAAAAGGGACAGGTTCAAACAAGCCCAGATTGTGAAGATTAAAATAAATACCTATCTCTTCAATGCCCAGATATACACAAACATCTATAAGCATCAAGAACATCCAGGAAAATATGACCTCACCAAACGAACTAAATGAGGTACCAGTAACCAATCCTGGAGTGATGGAGATATGTGTCTGTTCAGATGAAGAATTCAAAATAGCTATCCTGGAGAAGCTCAGTGATCTTCAAGACAACATAGAGAAGGAATTCAGAAGTCTCTCAGAGAAAATGAACAAAGAGAACGAAATAATTTTTAAAAACTCAAGCAGAAATTCTGGATCTTAAGAATATAATTGACAAACTCAAAAATGAGGCGGGGCGCGGTGGCCCATGCCTGTAATCCTAGCACTCTGGGAGGCCAAGGCGGGAGGATCGCTCAAGGTCAGGAGTTCAAAACCAGCCTGAGCAAGAGCGAGACCCCGTCTCTACTATAAATAGAAAGAAATTAATTGGCTAACTAATATATATAGAAAAAATTAGCCGGGCATGGTGGTGCATGCCTGTAGTCCCAGCTACTCGGGAGGCTGAGGCAGGAGGATCGCTTGAGCCCAGGAGTTTGAGGTTGCTGTGAGCTAGGCTGACGCCACGGCACTCACTCTAGCCTGGGCAACAGAGTGAGACTCTGTCTCAAAAAAAAAAAAAAAAAAAAAAATGAATCAGAGACTCTCAACAGCAGAACTAACCAAGTAGAAGAAAGAATTAGTGAGCTTGAAGACAGGCTGTTTGGAACTATACAATTAGAAGAGAAAAAACAAAGAACAAAAAAGAATGAAGCATGCATACAAGATCTAGAAAATACCCTCAAAAGGGCAAATCTAAAAGTTAATTGGCCTTAAGGAGGAGGTAGACAGAGATAGTAGAAAGTTTATTGAAAGAAATGATAACAGAGAAATTTTCAAACCTAGAGAAGGATATCAATATTCATGTACAAGAAGATCACAGAACATGAAGCAGATTTAAACCAAACAAGACTACCTCAAGGAATTTAATAATCAAGCTCCCAAAGCTTGATAAAGAAAAAGTCCTAAGGAAAGCAATAAGAAAAGAAAGAAAGAACATGTAAAAGAGCTCCAATATACCTGGCAGCAGATTTCTCAGTGGAAACTCTACAGGCTAGGAGAGAGTGGCATGATATATTCAAAGTGATGAAGGAAAAAAACCTTAACCCTAGAATATTACACCCTGCAAAAATATACTTGAAACATGAAGGAAAAATAAAGACTTTCTCATATAAACAAAAGCTGAGGAATTTTATCAATACCAGATGTGTCCTACAAGAAATGTTAAAATGAGTTCTTCAGTCTGAAAGAAAAAGACATTAATGAACAGTAAGACATCATCTGAAGGTATAAAACTCACTGGTAACAGTAAGTATACAAATACAGAATATTGTTGTAATTATGCTGTATAAACAACCTATACCTTGAGTAGGAAGACTAAAAGACAAATCTATCAAAAATAACTACAACAACTTTTGGAGAGATAGATTGTATTAAAAAATATGGATGGGAAGAAGAAAAAATTAAAAGGAAAGGTGGCATAAAGGGTAGAATTTCTGATAGATTTCTCGTTGTTTATTTGTTTGTAAGCAGAGTTGTCATGTGTTTAAATAAATAATAAATAAATAAATAAATAATTGGTTATAAAGTCTTTTTTGCAAGCTTCATGGTAAACTCAAATCAAAATACCTACAACAGATACACAAAAATAAAAAGTAAGAAATTAAAACACACTACCAGAGAAAATCAGTTTTAACAAAGGAAAACAGGAAGGAAGGAAAAAAGAGAGAAACCACAAAACAACCAGAAATCAAATAACAATAAGACAGGAGAAAGTCCTTACCTATCAATAATAACATTGAATGTGAATGAACTAAACTTTCCAATAGAAAGACATAGAGTGGCAGATGGACTAAAAAAAAAAAAAAGCCACCTATATGTTGTCTGCAAGAAGCACACTTCATATATGAAGACACACATAGATTGAAAATAAGAGATCGAAAGATATTCCATACAAATGGAAACCATAAAAGAAACAAAATAGCAGGAGTCGCTCTACTTCTATCAGATAAAATAGACTTCAAGACAAATACTCTAGGAGGAAACAGAGAAGGCCATTATACAGTGATAAAGGGGTCAATTCAGCAGGGGGATATAACAATTCTAAATACATTTGCACCCAACACTGAAGCACCCAGATATATAAGCAAATATTATTATAGTTAAAGAGAGAGATATACCCCAATATAGTAATTGTTGGAGAACTCAACACTTCACTGTCAGCATTGAACAGATCATCCAGACAGAAAATCAACAATGAAACATTGGACTTAATCTGCACTGTAGACTAAATGGACCTAATAGATATTTAGAGAATGTTTCAACCAACACCTGCAGAATACACGTTCTTCTTCTCAGCTCATGGATTATTGTCAAGGACAGACCATAGGTTAGGCCACAAAACAACTGTTAAAATATTCAAAAAAACTGAAGTCATACCAAATATTTTATCTGACCACAATGAAATAAAACCAGAAATCAATAACAAGAGGAACAACGGAAACTATACAAACACATGGAAATTAAACAATATACTCCTGCATGACAAATGAGTCAATGACGAGATTAACAAAGAAATTTAAAGATTTCTCAAAACAAATGAAAATGAAACCATAATATATCAAAACCTATGGGATACAGGAAAGGCAGTAATAGAGGAAAGTTTATAACAATAAATGCATGCATGAAAAAAGTAGAAAAGTTTCAGATAAACAATGTAACAATATATCTCAAAGAACTAGAAAAATAAGAGCAAACCACACTCAAAATTTATAGAAAAGAAATAAGATCAGAGCAGATAAATGAAACTAAAACTAAAAAAATACAAAAGATTAATGAAAGAAGTTGTTTTTTTGAAAAGAAAGAAACATACCTTTGGCCAGACTAAGAAAAAGAGAGAGAAGACCCAAATAAATAAAATTAGAGATAAACAGACGACATTGCAACTGATACTGCAGAAATCAAAAGGATCATTAGAGACTACTACGAGCAACTATATGGAAAACCTAGAAGAAATGAATAAATTCCTAGACATATACAATCTACCGAGATTGAACCAGGAAGAAATCCAAAACCTGAATAAACCAGTAACAAGTAATGAGATAGAGGCAGTAATAAAAAGTCTCCAATCGAAGAAAAGTCCAAGACCCGATAGCTTCACTGCTGGATTCTACCAAGCATTCAGAGAACTAGTACCAATCCTACTTAAACTATTCCAAAAAAGTGAGGAGGAGGGAATACTCCCAAACTCCCAAACTCATTCTTCGAGGCCTGTGTCACTAGGACACCAAAACCAGACAAAGACACAACAAAAAAGGAAAGCTATAGGCCAATATATCTGAGGAACATAGACACAAAAATCCTCAAGAAAATACTAGCAAAAAGAATTCAACAACACATTAAAAAGATTATTTATCGTGATCAAGTGGTATTCATCCCAGGGATGCAAGGATGAGTCAACATACACAAATTAATAGATGTGATATATCATATCGACAGAAAGAAAAACAAAAACCATATGACCATTTCAATTGATGCTGGAAAAGCATTCATTAAAATTCAACATCCCTTCATGATAAAAACTCTCAAAAAACTGGGTGTAGAAGGAACTGACCTGAACATGATAAAAGTTACATGACAGACCCACAGAGTATCATACTGAATGGAGAAAAACTGACAGCCTTTCCTCTAAGATCTAGAAAAAAACAGGATGATCACTTTCACCATTGTCATTCAACATAGTACTCTAAGTTTTAGCTAGAGCCATCCATCAGACAAGAGAGAGAAATAAAGGGCATCCAAATTGAGAAGGAAGAAGTCAAATTATTCCTGTTTGCAGATGATATGACCTTCCATCTAAACTTCAGAAACCTAAAGACACCTCAAAAAAACTATTAGAACCAATAAACAAATTCAGTAAAGTTGCAGGATACAAAATCAGGATACAAAAATCAATAGCATTTCTACACGCCAACAGTAAAGAATCTGAAAAAGAAACCAAGAAAGTAATCCCATTTACAAAAGCTACAAATAAAATAAAATACCTAAGAATAAACTTAACCAAATAAGTGAAATAGCTCTATAATGCAACCTCCAACTCCGTACTACTCAATTTCATCTTTGGTTCCACTCAGTGGGGCTTCTCTCCTCCATCTCTTTGCCACCACACAGCCCTGAACCTCTCATCACGCCATTCTTCCCAGCTGAAATCCACTACCCTGCTGTTCACTGCAAATATCTAAAGATCTACATCAAACCTCAGCATGTACAGGAGGCCCACCTACTGCCTTCTTTAAACCCTTCCTTCTCACTCTCCCACACACTGTGTGATGTGAACATTTTATGGCTACATATTTTGTATTTGCTAATTTATTTGTATTTTCACTTCACCTGAGGTGTGCATTCTGTCTTTCTTAAGATAATTAGTACCTAAAAACAGTACCTATCTATTCTAATTGCTCAACAATTTAATTTTAAATCTTCCATGATGCTTAGTACAAACCTATACACACAATAGGTACTCAAAGTGCTTGTTAAGCCTTTCTTGCCTGATGATTTAAGCATACCCAACCAGGATAGACTGCTCAATGAACCTCAAAATGCAGGCAAACAAATAACATTTCACCTGTTCCATTTTGATCAGGAAATAATCAATGAAGTCTTGAGGATTGTTCATGTCCAGGGATTCTTGATGTTCTTTTATTTTCTCCAAAACATAACTTTTAACATAAGCAAAATTTTTAAATAATTTATTATGACTTCCTGGGAGATAATCAATGAGAGCAGGAAAATTATTGCAGACCTTAAAGATTAAAAAAATTATTAACATATTAACATATTATTAAATTATTAACATTAAATTATTAACATATATTGAAGACATATATAGCATATGTTAACTGCTGGTTTAAAACCGAGATTAAAAAAATGGTTTTCCTGTTTAGGAGAAGCATTTGATTGTACATAAAAGTAATCCTCTATGGTGATAGATTTAAAGGAGAAAATTGTGACCAGAGAATCAAAGATGATTATAATTTTCTGTATTCATATGCTATTTTTAGAGTATTAAAGCATCTTTATGTCACTTCTCTTATTTTTTACATTATTTCTTCCCTACAGCTTGAAATTTAGAATGGCATGAATTGCTATGATTCATATTTTATAGGTGAGGACAGAGGTTAAAGAAGTTTCAGTAACCTGAAATAGAACACAAAGTCACTCCCTGCTATTTCTGCTACTAGCAAGCAGCCTCAGTAAGAGAATCACTATTTTAAAACTGGAAAGGGTGCAAAGATACTATGAAACACCAATTCAGCATTTTGTGGATAAGTAACTGTGTACCAGAACAGTTAGGTTACTTCTGTAAAATCCCATAATTATCTCTCAGGCAGAGAGAAAGACAAGACATACCAGCTCAGCACAGGGAAAATTTTTATGTTTCATAACCCCCAAATGCAATCATTTTATCATTCTAACCCTGGTTACCTTGTCAACTAGGATCCTAGCTGAAGCATCAAATACCCCCTATGCCACACAAAGTTTCCTGGCTACCTCTGTGCTGCCAAACATTATCCCCCCTTGACACGCTAAGTCAGGATACTTCTGCCCAGTAATATGATGAAGAGGTCACTAGGTGTTGACTGGGGGACAACCCCGTGGGTAACGGAAGCTTTTTAACAAGGGCCTTGGATCTCCATTGAGAACCATGGGCATGCTTTTGGGAGTCACCAAAGCACTGCCTGGAAACCGGGTTTTGAGGTTTGGAGGAAAAACCACTAGCCAATTCCAGCTCTATACTCAGGCATTTGTTTTTTCATCTGTAAAATAAAGACATCTGCTATCTATCACAGGCGTTCACTTTGTGATGTGAAGATCTAGACAGGACTGTGGCATTCAACCATTCACTTCACAGAGTGATATCAGCAAAAAAGACACAGCATACAAGTTCCAAGAGCCTGTTTCTCCACAAAAACATCCCAAAAAATCAAGGAAAAATAGAATCAACTTTGACAGAACTCTGGAAAACAGTCAAAGATTTAAGCAACTAAGAGAAAGCTGAATCATAAAAAAGGAAACCTAAAAATGGTAAGGTAGTTTGGTCATAATTGTATTTTCCCTGTCCTACCTCCCTCACTGGCTTGGAAGTGGTCTGGACAAGGGCAACTCCTGTCCCAGTGTGGGATCTAGCATGCTGGTTCCAAAGGAACCAGAGTAGACCTTACTTGTAAAGAATTCTGTTTGTGTCTAACATGTCTGAGGACTACCTGAAGGACTAATATAAGGCACTTGCCTTTGTTTCAACTGATTCAGAATTTACTCAGGAGGGAAAAGCAGTGGGCATTTCTCAAAAACCTTGTAATGCAAATGGACAACCCACACCCACCTGGAACAAAAAAGATTACAACTGAAACACACCATAGAGCACTAAAACCGTGGAAACAAAAGCTGGGGAGACAGTATCTTCCAAAATTGAGACATTCAAAAGTGTGCACATATACTGAGAAAGTTAGAAAGCCACAGACATGACCAGGGCAGGATCTAGGCTAACAAAAGACCTGAGAAGACTGTAAACTTTCACCTCTGGCTGAAATCCAGACTCAGCTTCAGCAACAAGTGGAAGCTGTAACAAGGAGTGCTCCAGAACACAGCTAATCTGGAAGTGTTTTCCTCCCTCCTTCCTTCCTTCCTCACTTCCTTCCTTCTCTAACTCCATTTTTGTTTCTTTCTTTACTTCCTTCCTTACATCTTTCCATCTCTATTTCTTTCTCTCTCTCTCTCTGTCTTTATATCTATCTATCCTTTTATTTTGGCTGTTCACATTCAAGAAAATTTCTTTCACAACTAGCTGACCATAAGCTAAGGAAAAAGAGACTTCAGAGACCATACAAATAAAGAATACATACTTTACAACAATAGCTCAGAAAGAAAACTAAAGTAACAGCTAGAGCCTTCAAAAAGAAAGAAAAAAAACCCTAAGGAGTGAGAAGAATCTGATTTACAGAGTCACCACATTATATTATCTAAAATGTACAATTTTCACACAGTTACTTCATGGCTTGGTCCATATAGAATTTTGGACTTGTCAGAGAAAAATGTAAGTAATGTGTTCAGAAGAGAGGCTGTTGACCTCACCTGTAACCATGGGGAGCTCATAATCCTGTGGTTTTCATCGAATTTTTCCATCATGTTAAGAAGAGTCTGATCTACATAATCAAAACGATTCCGGAATATAATGGAGCAGATCACATTGCAGGGAGCAAAGCTCAGGATAAATAGAGGATCACATGGTGAGGCTAAAGAATTGAAAACATTTTTCAAATACCATTAAAATATACATACAAAACACTTCAATAACAGGTAATTGTAATTTTAGAATCTATAAAGCAATGTCTACCTAGAAATTCCCTTATCAGCAAAAACTTGAGCATACTTAAAATTAGCACATCACTTTTCCTGTGAACCTGAATTAATCATTCCTTCCTATCCCATTTAATAATGGTTTTCCAAATTCTCCATTTCCATTACTGCCTTTCTATACACAATTCTGATCCAAGGTGCCTGTTACTTTGGAGGACAAAAGAAAAAAAAATGAAGAAGCCATGTTTAAAAGCACCTAATAATGCAAGTCCTCAGTGCAGAATCATGTTTATCTAGAAAACTTGTACACAATTAAGCATTGATATAGGAAGGAAGGAAATATAATGCTTAAGTACTTGGGAATATTTTATATATTAATACAATGAATAATTGAAGAAACTGTGTAGAACCAGCAGATGGGAAGACTAAAGAGAAAAAGATATGAGAAATTCAGGTATTTGATGGAACAAATGTAAAAAAGAAAAAGCCATCCATGTTATATGAGAAAAAAAGCTAACACAAATGAACACAAATGAGAAGATAGATTTGTTTGCAAAAATCAAAGTAAAATAAACAATCTTCATTTCAGACTTAAATTACAAACAAAATAGGTTAAATTGATAAATGGAAAATTTTTATTTCCTTATTTCAATATGGAAAGAAAAAAAAAAAGAATTTTCAGCTCTAAGAAGTGGCATTACCAGGCCCTACATTTAATTTATCTGGACAAAACCTACCCTTTATTGAATTCTGGGTTATTGTTCTATCTAGCCATCAAGAAATACCATGTTATTATAAATTTTTACATTTGATCATCATGTAGGTCAATTCCATCATTTCACAGATAAAGAAAATAAGCAATTTATGGGCAATTTTTAAACCATATTGTTATAATCAAATCTTTAATAAACTTTATGTATCAGAGTATCATAAATGTAATTAAGACTGACTTGACTTGAATCAAAAGTGTTGTATAGTAACTATTGGGAATTAAATAGTAGGAAGCCTGTTTAGTTAACTGCTCTTAGGCCAGACCCCTTTTTAGCCAAAACATGCCAGGGCACTAGGCTTTCAGAAAACCTTTTATTCTAGCCAGCAAGGTAGGAGATTATAAATTTGAGATTTCTTAGGGTATGGGCATGTGCATGACTCATAGGAAAAACCTGGTTTTCCATCTTTCTTTTCTCTTTGCTTGGGAAAGATAATAAAAACAGAGTAATTTGGAATCTAAGCTGGAAATCAGACTCATTGTGACAAGCACTTCATAGGTGAGTTGAACTTGCAGGGGAAGGTTAATAATTGCCATAAAACTTATTTTAAATTCAATTGTTTTAAAAGTCACAGGAGAGATAGGAACACTCATACACTGTTGGTGGGACTGCAAAGTAGTACAAACTCTAGGGAGAGTAATATGGAGATACCTCAAAGAACTAAAAGTAGAACTACCATTTGATCCAGCAATCCCACTCCTAGGTATTTACCCAAAAGAAAAAAAGACATTCTATAATAAAGACATCTGTACTTGAATGTTTGTAGCAGCACAATTCACAGTTGCAAAGATGTGGAAAAAACCCAAGTGCCCATCAATACACGAGTGGATTAATAAAGTGTGTTATATGTATACCATGGAGTACTACTCTGCCACAAAAAACAATGGTGATCTAGCACCTCTTGTATTATCCTGTGTGGAGCTGGAACCCATTCTCTTAAATGAAGTACCCCAAGAATGGAAAAACAAGCACCACATGTACTCACCATTAAATTGGTTCTAATTGATCACTTATATGCACATATGGAAGTAACATTTATCCAGTGTTGGGCAAGTGGGGGCAGGGAGGACAAGATGGGTAAATTCACACCTAATAGGTTCAGTGCACACCATCTGAGACATGGGCACATTGGTAGCTCTGACTTGGGTGGTGCAAAGGCAATATATGTACCAAAGTGTTTGTACACCTGTAATATTCTGAAATTTAAAAAAATTTTTAAAATAAAAATAAATAAAATTCACCCAGGATTTTGTGTTTATTCAGATATGGTGAGGTCAACAAAACAGGCTGCCCTTGAACAGACTGCCCTTGAAAAGATAGCGTGTTTCTCATAGTTCCAAGAGGAGAGGCACCCACACCACTGTGGGGCATGGGAACAGGGAAGCCCCAGGGTTGGTCAGGATGCAGGAGCAAAAGGAACTGTGGGTTGGAGCCTTTATTGAGGTTTTCAGGGGAAGGAGCGAGAGAAATAGGGTAGGTACTCAAGTAAGTTTAGGAATGGATAGTTTGAATAATTTCAGTGGCTATGGACTCATGGGGTAGTCCCTCCCTAGCTGTCTAGCACTGGCCCTGGGGTAATTTAGGGCAAGGACAATACAATCAGCTCTCCTGTCTATGAGTTCCGCATCTCTGGATTCAACCAATCGTAGAAGAAAAGTATTTGGGAATAAAAAAGCATCTGTACTCAACATGTACAGACTACACAGACATTTTTTCCCCGTCAATATTCTCTAAACAATACAGGGTAACAATTAGTTACATAACTTTTAAATTCTATCAGGTATTATAAGTAGTCTAGAGATGATTTGAAGCATATAAGAGTGCTAGGTTTACTTAGAATGGGAACCTGAAAAGTATGCATAGGACGTAATACTTAGATCGTGACTCTAAAGCCTGTGAAACAAAAGCCGCAGGAGTCTGGAGAGTCCAAGGTTGTGAAGCTAACTTCAACCACAGACAGCTGCAGGACCACAGACAGCTGCAGCAACGCAGCCTTCCTATTCCTCCTGATAAGGATGAAGCTAGCCTCCTTCCCTATCTCTGCAGGTGCTGCTCACTGCCCCCAGAAAATCCCTCTATCAAACCCAAGGCTTTCCCCTCCCTCAGGGTGGACACTCTTTTGGCCTCCACCCATCTTCAGCCAGATGCTCAAAATAAACAGCATTTTGCTACAGCTCATGCTTCATGTGTCTCCCTCTTGTCTCCAGATCTAACAAAGAGAATACGCATGAGTTATATGCACATACTACATCATTTTATACAAGGGACTTCAGCATTCATGGATTTTGGTACCTGCAGGAAGACCTAGAACCAATCCGCCATGGATAACACGGGACAATTATATTGTCTGGCTGTGTGAGAGTTTGATAAAGGAAGTGGATGGGGGTGTGGCCTCTGAACACATTGGTTTATAAATCAAAGGTATGCTGCAGACAAGATATTTGCTATATCTAGGAAGTAGCTAACTCTGGCAGGGGAAGTCCCTTCCTGGGTCCACAAGGTCCCCAAGATGTGAAAGCATCATGAAATATAGGAAATAAAAAACATGATTAATATACATAAATAAAAACGGAGAAGAACATAACGAAAGCTGAATACTGAGCCAATTTACAATTAGGGAAGGCAGGGGAAAGAGTTATGATAATACTTGAATCCAGATATAGTGGCACATGCCTGTAATTCTACCACTTTAGAAGGCCAAGGCAGGAGGACTACTTGAGGCCAGAAGTTCAAGACCAGCCTGGGCAACATAACTAGACCCAGTCTCTGCTTGAGCCCAGGAGTTCGAGGCTGCAGTGAGCTATGGTCATGTCACCACAGCCAACCTTGGGTGACAGAGCAAGACGTTGTCTCAAAAACAGAAAAAAGAGTTGATATTTAGAAATAAATCATTTTATAACTTGGTATTTGTGTAATTTACAGGATTATGCTAGGGCATATATTTTCTGAAAACATATAAAACAATATAGTAAATAGTGACATTAAATAATGCCAGCTGATAGTTTTCAAATAATTGTTTAACATGGAAATTACAATTGATGCGAGCGGCACTAAAGATGCCCGGGCACTTAAAACCATAGATAAGCATCATTACTGGTGGAAATTGTAGTCACAGGCCTTGGAAGAAGGCCCTAGACATGTCAGTGAAGCTGACCGTGCAAATATAGACTAATTAAGGTAAAGCATATGTCATTTGTTTCATGCCTGATAAGAGGGCAAGGGTCAGTCAGTTAAGTTCAGTGTATTGTATATTTCAAAATGGGTAGAAGAAAGGTCTTGAGATGTTCTCAGCACATAAAATGATAAATGCTCACAGTGATGGATATCCTAAATACCCTGACTAGATTATTAAACAGTCTATGCATGTAACAAAATATCACATGTACCCCCACAAATATGTAAAAATACTATGTATCAATAAAAAAATTTAAATTAATTTTAAAAACTTTTATAGGCAAAAAAAAGTCACCCACCCTTGGTTTTTCTCAACTCCTCGACAAGGCAGCGGGCCTCCTCTTGAACACATTCCTCAATTCTCCTCTTCCCCATCCCGAAATTCCGCAGGGTCATGAGGGTGAAGCGCCTGATCTCCTTCCATCTATCTCCATTGCTGAAAATGATTCCTACCAGAATGGGAAACAGAAACTAAGAGGGAATTCCCAGGTAAGGAAGAGGGAGCTGACACTCCACAGCCATGTGGGAGGCCAAGCTCTGCCTAGGAGCTCTACAAGACTGTTGTCCATCCTCCCCACCCCCTTTACCACTGCTGACTCAGGCACAGGCCCACCTACCAAGCCCTTTATTAATTCTTTCAGCCACTGGGAAATGGCCTCTTCCAGAAAACTCCTCTCCATGATCAATCAGGGCTTCCTTCACTGCTTCATATCCATGTAACACCACAGCGGGCTTCATGCCAAAGTACACAGTAAACACCGGGCCATAGACTTTTGAGAACTGAAAATAGGAAAGGAGATTCAAATAGTAACAAAAGAAGTCAGTATTTGGTCTATATATTGTATATGATTCAGATTGATATTATCAGCATATTGTTGATATTTTTATTCTCTCCAACACAGATGTAAATATTTTTGGCTTTAATATATAAATTGATAAATATGATGGTGATTGTTATAGCTGCACATATAGAGCAACTCTGATGTGCCAGGCAATGGCCCAGGCAATTAGTACACAGATTATTACACTTACTCATCACATCGACACCTCAAACTTGGTTTAGTTACTCTGTTTTACACATAAGAGAGATGGAGTTTTAAAGAATTTCAAATTCATTTCCAGTTTCCCAAAACTAATAAATAGAAGATCCAAATTCGAACCTTGCTTAGTCAACCTCTGATGCCTGATCAATTTATCACCCTGTTCACAGTTGGGCCAGTACTCAGCTGCTGGGACATGCTTTAGGACTAATACCAAAGCTCTTCCCACAAGGATTCTGAGTCAGGAGTCCTGTGATAAATACTACAAATGTACATTTTTAAAAATCACCTCAAGTGATTCTATTGCCAAGCCCACTTCAGATCCTCTGGTATGATCACCACAGAAAGAGAGCAGGTACCACACAGGCAGTCCCAGGACGTGTAGTACCTCATGGAAGAAGAATTTCTTCCACGTTATATACATGCTTAGGTCACAGACAGCAGCTTTATGACCAGGCCAAAAGTATACCAGTACTACCCAGCCATCCCTGAATAATTAATTCTTTCTTTCATTCATATATGTTTATCATGAATTCATAGATATTTCCTTGACATAAGGCATGATTTGATGCCTTGGAGAAGTTTAATTTTCATGGATAATCTAAATGAAATATACAGCACATACAGTAGCTGACTTCTTGAATAAAATCTCAAACCACAAAACACCTCCATTACTATTTACCTTCAGGCAAAAAAAAATCATAGCAAATGACTGAAACGAAGAAGGGCAGCAGCACTTTATTATTTTGACTCTAACTTACAACTCAAAAGCTTCTCTGTTGCCAAATGCATTATCTCATTCCACCATTTATGACAATGACATACCCCCAAAAAAATACTCCACAGTGGATATTTGCTTTACCATAACATATTTTAATAATTTGCCTCTAGCAATATAGAAGGAATGTTCCCTTATACTATAAAAGCCATATACAACAAGTCCATGCTAACATCATACTTAATGGTGAAAACCTAAAAGCTTTTTCTGTAAGATCAGGAAGACAAGGATATCCCCTCTCAATACTTCTGTTAAACAGAGTACTGGAAGTTCTAGCCAGAGCAATTAAACAAGAGAAAGAAAATTGAATATATCCATATTGGAAAGGATGAAGTGAAATTGTCTGTTTGCTGACAACATGATCTTATATAGAGAAAATCCTAAAGACTCCATCAAAAGGCTGCCTCAACTGATAAAGAAATCAGTAAGTTACAGGATCGACATAAAGGTGCAAAAATCAGTAGCATTTCTATACACTAACAAAAAACTGTCTGAAAAGAAATTAACAAAACAATACATTACAGTAACATCAAAAAATACTTAGAAATAAATTTAACTAAGAAAGTGAAAGATATGTATACTGAAGACTATAAAACATTGATTAAAGAAATTGAAGATGACACAAATAAATGCAAAGGTATCCCCCCCCTCTTTTTTTTTGAGACAGAGTCTCATTTTGTTGCCCTGGTTAGAGTGCTGTGGTGTCAGCCTCGCTCACAGCAACCTCAAACTCCTGGGCTCAAGCAATCCTTCTGCCTCAGCCTCCCAAGTAGCTGGGAATACAGGCATGTAGCACCATACCCGGCAATTTTTTTCCATGTACTTTTAGCTGTCCCAGTAATTTCTTTCTATTTTTAGTAGAGACGGGGTCTTGCTCTTGCTCAGGCTGGTTTCAAACTCTTGACCTTGAGTGATTCACCCTCCTAGGCCTCCCAGAGTGCTAGGATTGCAGGCGTGAGCCATCGTGCCTGGCCAGAACTAATATTCTTAAAATGTCCACACTACCCAAAGCAACATACAGACTCAATGCAATCCCTATGAAAATCCCAATCTTATTCTTCACAGAAATAGAAAAAAAAAAATCCTAAAATTTGTACAGAACCACAAAAGACCCCAAATATTCAAAGCAATCTTGACCAAAAAGAATAAAGCTGGAGGGAGGCATCACTCTACAGGATTTCAAAATATATTACAAAGCTATAGTGATTCAAACAACATGGTCTTTGCATAAAAACAGACACATAGACCAAAAGAATAGAATAGAGGGCCCAGAAATAAACTCACTGAAATAAACTCTTCAGTCAATTGGTTTTTGACAAAAGTACCAAGAACATATAATGAGGAAAGAACAGTCTCTTCAATATATGGTATTGAAAAAGTTCGATATCCATATGCAAAAGTATGAGAATGGACACTTATTCACCCCTTTTACAAGAACCAACACAAAATAGATTATGTTTAAGGCCAGACTTAACCATAAGACCTGAAACTAAGAAATGACTAGAGGAACATAGAGAGAAAACTCCATGACATTGGTCTGTGCAGATATCTTTTAGAGATTACCCCAAAAGCACAGGCAATGAAAGCAAAAATATACAAATGGGATTCCACCAAGATAAAAAGCTTCTGCACAGCAAAGGAAACAATAGAGTAAATCAATGCATTGGGAGAAAATATTTGTAAATCACACTTCAGATAAGGGGCTAATCTTCAAAATATATAGAAACTAAAACTATTCTATAAAAGAAAACAAATGGCCGTATTTAAAATAGTCAAATGACTTGAATGGACATTTCTCAAAAGAAGACATACAAATGGCCAACAGATATATTTTTTAAATGCACAAAAACTTTAATCATCAGAGAAATGCAAATTAAAACCACAGTGAGATATTGTCTCACATCTCTTAGATTGGCTATTATATATAAAAAAGATAAAAGATAACAGATGTTGGCAAATGTGAAAAAAAGGGAACCCTTATACACTATTGATGGTAATGTAAATAGTACATGCAGTTGGGCAAACAGTATGAAGTTTCCTCAAAAAACCTAAAATTAGAACTACCAGATGAACTAGCAATCCCACTACTGGGTGTATATCCAAAGGAATTGAAATCAGTATGTCAAAGAGATGTCTGCATGCCCATGTTTATTGCAGCATCATTCACAATAGCCAAGATATGGAAAAAATCTAAGTGTCTATCAACAAACAATTTTTTAATGTGGTATATATAAACAAATACTCTTTACCCTTAAAAAATAAAAATGAAATTCTTTCATTTGTGACAACATGGATGAATCTAGAGGACATTATGTTTAGTAAATAAACCAGGTACAGAGAGAAAAAATACTGTATGATCTCACTTATATGTGACATCTAAAAAGTTGCACTCATAGAAGTAGAGATCAGGATGGTGGGGACCAGAGGCCAGAAGGGTGGAGGTGGAAGAGAAAAGGGAAGATGTTGGACAACAGGTACAAAGTTACAGTTATATACGAGTAATAAGTTCTGGCGTTCTACTGGACAGCAAAGTGACTATAATTAATAATAATAATATATTGTATATTTGAAAATACATAAAAGAGAGGATTTTTAACTGCTCTCACTACAAAGAAATGATAAATGTTGGAGATGATGAATGTGTTTACCCTGATTTGATCATTCCAGTGTTTCAAAACATAGTGTTTTACCCTTTATATATTATTATCATTTATTAATTGAACATAAAATTTTTCTTAAAAAGTATAAGTGTTAATTATTCACCTTTTGCAAGTCATGAAAGGAGCATAAAGCATACTTACATTGGTTAAGGATTTGCCAATGTTCTTAACATCCACCTGCAGGATATTTCCAATAATTGGGAGAGGAGTGGGGCCAGGAGGAAGCTTCCCTCTCCCAGGGCTCTGTCTCCAAAGGAAGAGGAGAAGCAAACTGGAGAGACAGAGCACCAGAACCACAGCTGGGTCCATTGCAGCCTTCTCTTCTTACCAAGAGAACTGTGAGCTTGCACTCCAAGGCTTTTATAACACTCCCTGCTAATTCACTTATGACTCATTAACACATAAATAACCAGTCAGCTAGATAGACTCTACTCCCTCTTCTGAATGGACTTTGGCTCATTGAAAAATATAAAACCGACGTGTTTTTTTTTCTGGCTCTCATTTTTAAGACCCACACTAGAGATTCTGGTTTAACTAGTCTGGGCTAGGACTCTAGTACTGCTTTGGCTTTTTTAAACAACCCACATGTTTTCAATGTTTAGCCAAATGTGAGAAACAACGAAGTAAATTATTTGATCAAAAATTATTCAACATTCTGAATTCTTAGATTGATGATCAGTTAGAATTTATGACTTTGATGATACTCCTAGTAGTATTCCTTATATATAAAATAATGTTGATCCTATAATGCTTCCTCAAACACTGAGATACTTTCCTGGATAATGAAAGCCTTTTAAAATATTTTAGTGTGCTGCCTAGACATGAAATAGCTAACATGACTCATATCTTGAATGACCAAACATATATATGTAATTAGCTAAGAAAACACACACACTTTTTCACATTTAACCTCCTAAAAGGAAGACAGAGATTGTTATCTTTTATTTTTCCAATGGGGAAAGGGAGACTTTGGGAGAACAGGAGACCTGTCCAGTGTCCCACAGCACATAGGTGGCAAAACTGGAATTTGAGCTGAGATACTCTGATGTCCATGTGATGCACTATGGCTTCTCTTCAAAAACAATTTTAGAAAAACAAAACAAAATCCCCAAAACATTGGTTATTTGGAAGGTACATCACACTGACTATTCACAAAATAACAAGGACATACATTCTCAAAAAATTTTTTAAAATGGGTTTCTCCCCTCTCCATCACTGGAAAGGTGAAACTTGCTCAGTATATAGGAGGGATGAGCCAATCTCATGGTATTTAGTGGGGAAAGCTTGGGAAACTAGGACTTCTCCCACCCCAGTCACCTCCAGACACAGCTGCTTCTTTTGCTTTTCTGGTCTGTGTGTGTCAGAATTAATAGAATGAAATATTGCACAGCGTGGAAGGGAAATTATACAGACAGAACAGCCATGAGCTTCCGTGGTGGATGGGAGGTAGAGAAATCATTAAACACAGCATAGAACAAACACAACGTGCAAGCCTGAACAGGAGAGGACACTTAGTGGTTGTGAGGATCTAAATATCACTGGAATGATATACATTTCTAGATCAGTGATGGCAATGCTTGTACAAAGGCACATTCTATAAAGATATTATTGTATGGTTCTAACTGATTAGTACAGTTATTTCTTATTTTTATTGTATATATTTAAGGTGTACAACATGATGTTTTGACATATAGAGTGAAAGGATTACTACAGTTAAATAAATTTAAATATTCATCACATTCCATAGATATCTTTTTCTGTGATAAGAGCATCTAAAATCTACTTTTTCAGCAAATTTTCAGTATACATACAATACAATATTATTAACTGTAATCCTCTTGCTGTACATTAGATCCCTAGATTTATTCATCCTACCTAACTGCAAATTTGTACCTTTGACCTAGTTTTCCCCATTTTTTCCCCTTCCCTATCCCAGTAACAAACATTTTACTCTCTCTTTCTATGTATTCTATTTTTTAATACTCCACATATAGGTGAGATCATATAATACTTTTTCTTCTCTCTGGTTTAGATCACTTAGCATAATATCCTCCAGGTTTATCTGTGTTGTTGCAAATTACAGTATCGCCTTCTTTTTAAGGATAAATAATATTCCAACCACAATTTTTTTATCCATTTATCTGTGAATGGACACTTAAGTTGTTTCCATATCTTGGCTATTGTGAATAACACTAGGTTAGTACAGTTATTTCTAACTGCAGTAAAGAAAAATTAAGTTTTATCAAGACCCCAGATACACAATGTCTTATTGGTCATGTTTACAGGAACTCTGACAATTTACAGAGAATTTTCATACACATCATACTCTCTCAATTACCTTATGGATAAGGTAAAATCATTGCCATTGGAGGGAGAAGGAGGCTGGGCCTTGGAGCTTCCGTACCTTGGCCAAGGACGCACAGATTGCAGGTGATAAACCTGAGGGTGGAACCCGTATCCCCTGACTCTTGCATGCTTCCTCCAAGCAAGAAACTCAGTTCAACCAGATTCACCAACATTTACTTACTGTGTACTATTACTCAGTATTTCGTGATTCAGCCTAACCAGTGACCTTCAAATAAACATTGAGTCAATAATTACAGCACAGATGGATTAAAATGAGGGTCAGAGATTGGTTTTGTAACCTTTAGCACTGAGTGTGTTTTGTCTTGGTGAACCCTTTATCTGGGACAAAGAGAAGCAGTTATTTTACTGTTAGACTCATGCAGCTCTGAGCTCTAAAACAATCACACTAGTTTATTTTGGATAAAATGAACTCAATGGCTCTCTTAAAAGCAATCTTTTTATTTTTTGAGAGATGAGTCCCTGTTCTGTTCCTCCTTCCCTCCACTGAGGCCCCTGCCTGGCCCTTTCTCTTTATAGAGTGAAATAATCATAGATATTGGGGACAGACAGGACCTCAGAGATCCACTAGGCTAAACCCTACTTCATTTTTAGAAATAAGCAATTGGTGACCCAGTGAAGTAAAGTATCATCAACGCATCAGTACGAGATCTTGTTTTTAAATCCAGGTTTCTTTCTTTACTTTTTTTCTTTTTGAGACAGAGTCTCACTTTGTTGCTCAGGCTGGAGTGAGTGCCGTGGCGTCAGCCTAGCTCACAGCAACCTCAAACTCCTGGGCTCAAGCAATCCTGCTGCCTCAGCCTCCCGAGTAGCTGGGACTACAGGCATGCACCACCATGCCCGGCTAATTTTTTCTATATATATTAGTTGGCCAATTAATTTCTTTCTATTTATAGTAGAGACAGGGTCTCGCTCTTGCTCAGGCTGGTTTCCAACTCCTGACCTCGAGCAATCTGCCCGCTTAGGCCTCCCAGAGTGCTAGGATTACAGGCGTGAACCACCGGCCCGGCCTAAAATCCAGGTTTCAATTCCCAGTTTGGTGAATCGCACATCAAAGGGATTTCCCATCACTGCCCAAATGGATGGTCAGGGGGGCCTCTGGGTAAAGCCCTCCACAGTGACAGAGTAATGCAGAGCTCAGCTTGATTAGAAGTGTAAATTAAGGCCGGGTGCGGTGGCTCATGCCTGTAATCCTAGCTCTCGGGGAGGCCGAGGCGGGTGGATCCTTTGAGCTCAGGAGTTCAACACCAACCTGAGCAAGAGCGAGACCACGTCTCTACTATAAATAGAAAGAAATACATTGGCCAACTAATATATATATAGAAAAAATTAGCCGGGCATGGTGGCGCATCCCTGTAGTCCCAGCTACTCGGGAGGCTGAGGTAGAAGGATCGTTTGAGCCCAGGAGTTTGAGGTTGCTGTGAGTTAGGCTGATGCCACGGCACTCACTGTAGCCTGGGCAACAAAGTGAGACTCTGTCTCAAAAAAAAAAAGAAGTGTGAATTAAAACTGTCTCCTTTTAAGTAAATATTTTCACTAGAACATAATATTCATGGAGAACATTGTACACATTATAAATGTATAGCTCAATAAGTTACCACAATGTGAACACCATAAAGGTTTTTGTGCATGTTTTGCCTTGACCCCTCGCCTCCCAACCAACCAGGCTGCTTCTGCATGTGGCCCTGCACCGCGGGCGCTTTGCCTCCTGTTTGTAGGAAACTGTGAGGAAAAACTTCTTCCTTCATGACAGTCATGTCTGTGTGTGCGTATCCTACCATACCTGATTCAAACAAATCCCAGGCATATTTTATTACAAGTCGTTTTTAAAAACAAATTTGTTAGGTTTTCTACCTATAAGTTCATGCCTTTGTGAAGAGAGAAAATTTCATTTCTTCCTTTCCAATATTCTTATCTGTTTTTTCTTTTCTTTGTCCTATTGCACTTACTAAGTCACTCGTGTTCCTCCCATAAGTGTACGTGGAACACTGAGCCCCTAATACTGGCCAGGCCCTGCCCTGAGCACTGGGGACCCAGATGTGAATGGACACTGTGGACACATGACAGGAGTGTGACCCCATATAGGCAACGGGAACAAGATCTTTCTGAACTGAGAAAACAATGTGCTTAGAGGATTAGCTGGGCCTCTGGGGTAAAGAAAGCACCAACGACAGTCTGGAAAGTTTGTGAACTCAGGTAAGGTCTGTGCTTTGGTGCTGCCCACCTGCCCCTCTGCAGGTATAGTCTTCTCTAGGTACCTGGCATAGTTTGATTCTGGACAGGACCCAGTTCAGTTTTCTTTAGTGTGGTATAGTCCAATTGGCCACAGTATCCTCAGGAGCCTTTGCAAGAGACTGGGCCACTATGGAGGAACCTCATGCTGCCAGAGATCTGTACTTGTGGCAAAACCAGGAGACACTAAAGAGTTTCACAGCAGAATCCACAGATGATGGGGTCTCTACCAGGTCTCATTGTCCTGGATATCAGTGGGAGCTGGTAGAGTTTGCTGTGGTGGTTCAGGTGTTCATAGTTCTCTTGGTTTTATGCAGAATTTTTCATACAGCCAACGAAAGGCTTTCTTTACAGCAAGACAACTCACCTATAGCAGTGCAGTACTAGCACTAGCAAAATGTAGTCCTTTTGACAAGCTTCATCCTGTGAGAAAAGAAGATGAAAATGCAAAAGTGTCTGGCAACCCGTACATGTCCACTCTTATGCTAAGGAACATGCATTATAGTAAAACACTGGGGAAAAGAAAATCCCCAATATTCAAAACAAGAATAATTGATGTCTGCTCCTACAAACTCTGGAAGATGAAACCAAATTAATCAAAACAAAGTGGAAGAAGCTAAAAAGCACTTTAAAATATTATGGGAAACTAAAAAGAACTTGGGTCTCCATAGTGAGCCTGTGTGGAGAGTCAGACCACATCTCTGCAGCATGTTAGCTCCAGATCATTGACCTGGGTCTTCCCTGAGGGAGAAGAATAAGGGTGACAACATGGAATCAAGGGATGGAAAGAATGTTGACAACCCAGCAAAAAAATTCAAGAGGACACAGAAGGAGGCTGCAAAGTCAAGTGTTCATTTAAACATTCAAAACAGCAAGAAAAACTCATGTTATATCAACATGCTAAAGAAGAGGAGAAAAAAGCCCACCGCACAGGTCATCATAAAGATATCCAGACTGACA